TCCGAATGTCCCGTGTCCGATGTGCTCTATTTCATTAAATATGTTATATTCATATTTAATAATTCGATTATTTTTAATAGCATTGTCAAGCCATTCTCTATGTTCGCATATTTGTGCCATCCTTTGGAAAATGCTAGTTTGTGACAATATAAAAAATGTGAACTTAGCGTTGTCGTTATATACCGTAAAGCGGTGTTACATTAAGAAAAATTTTGCATCACACCACCGCGTTGTACGGTAAATTATGCGCATCTACGGACAGATCTTACGGACAGTTAAGGACAGTCAAATTCACGTGATATTACTAAAACCACTAACCACTAACCAGGAAAGCCTCCGACACCTACCAGTTCACATGACACCTACCAATTCGAGTAATTTTTGTACCTACCCTAGAGTGTCCAGGATTATGATGCGACATAATTTGCGATGTTTACTATATGAAGTCGCATAACCCGCTCAGCATGTGAACAAAAATTGATATTGGTTAAATGAATAAACCGGTTTGTCCCTGTGACTGTAATCACCTGACTTGTCGTTCTTTTTGAAATTTTATTGGCTAATAGCTCAAAATTCGCATAATTCGCATAATTTATATCATAATTTATGATTTGTCACATGCATAATTTGGCTATCTTCGCATCATAATCCTGGACACCCTAACCTACCCTAAAACCTGACACGTATTAACAAGTGAATTGATCTAATCGCATCTAAGAATTGAAATTTGTTTTGATATAACTCAAATCTTACGCACAGCATATTTGTTAAAAATTTATAATTGTTAAATTTAGAGATATAGAAATATGCATTGTAGTGATACATAATTTTAATAATATTGTAATATATGTAATAAACAATTTCTGTATATACACGGGTATTGTTATTTTAATTATAAAATTATTTTGGGGGTTTTAACAAAAAAGATTCTTAACAAACTTTATCTTTTATATACTACAGAATATGTAAATCATTAATCCTGTAATCATAGTACTGTCTTTCGCCATTGAGAGTACGTACTCAGGGTCTTTTACAGTCTACACAGGTTTTTTTTTCTAATTCATACCAACCGGGGTATACTATGCGGGGTTTTGTACAGGGTCATATATTATGAACCCGATTTATTTATATAAATTTTGTTTAGTATACCCGGATCTTTACAGAATATACAGATCATAATAGACCTGGTAGCATGCCCGGTATAAATCAAGAGGAGTACAGTCAACCAGGGGGTACTCTGCAAGACGAAATACGGTAATGCCCGCGTACGTGTAAACTAAGAAATTTTCTAATAAATATATGATAATCATATAATTAATATATTTTGCAACCTTATACAGTTTCTGCAAAGAAGCTTCAATCTGATTAACAAACAATTTAGGTTCTTCAGGAACATTTATATAATTTGAAACAAGTTGCATTAGTTGTCGCAAAAACTGCTTATCAGAGTCTTCAATATTGTTATCTATGTATTCAAATGTAATAGATTCTTCATCAATATCTGGTGCTGAACCTAAAACTTCATTAATATTTGGTGCCGAATTTGATGCTGAACTTAAAACTTCAATTCCATTAGTTAGTCCTTGAAAAATTATATCTCGTCTGTTATCATCATCAATATTAATTTCTTCACTAGATATTACATTATCCATATTAATATTCGCAAGATTAGATGTAATCTCTTCGATATTTGGTCGTTGGTCCGGTATCGATCTCCAGCATTCTAACAATTATCAGATTATTTTATTTTTACTTACTAGAAGAAATAAAGGATAAATTAAATTTATTACCTTCATAAATTTTTACATAATCCTTTGGTGTTCCATGAATTGGTTTTTCTTTTAGTCCAAAAATAATGTGTAACAATACGCATAAAGGTTCGTCAAATTTAAATGGCTCTCTACCGCTTGATATCTCCCATAAGAGTACACCTAAACTATAGATATCCGATTTCTTAGTTCGACTATAATTTGGTGGATTCCTAACAAATTCAGGATCCGAGTAACGCATCGACCCAAGTTCCTTTGTTAATTGAATTGATGGGTCTGTAATAAATTTTGAATTCCCAAAGTCACTAAGCTTTATAATTTTACCATGGATAAGCACATTATCAGAATGCTAAAGGAAAAGACGAAAGATACATTAATTAAAAGAATTAAGATTAAAATTAAAAACTGAATTATAAGTTACCAAATCTCGATGTATTATATCATGTGAATGCAAAAACTTGATAGCATCGGCTAATTGATTTGCAAGGCGAAGCTTATCATCCCAGTTTAATATACAAAAATTCTCGCATAAATATTCTTTAAGAGTACCATTGTTTGCATATTCAAGAACGAGTATAAATATGTCTGATTCTAAAGAGTATGTTAAAAATATTAATAATGTGATAAGATGCATTTATTAAGAATATTTTTATTACCATCTTCAATAATCCCGTAGAATTCTAAAATATTATTATGTGAACCAATACTGTAAAAAACTATCAGTATTTTAATTATACTTTTCATCAATATTAATACAGTCAACCCTATAATTAACAGACGGTTCTTATAGTAAAAAGTTCGTTATATTTAGAGTTGACTGTATAAAATATTCACGAACCTCATTAACCAATAATTCTATCGTAAAATCAGGATTAATTTTAACAGATTTTAAGGCTACTTTTCTTTCAAATTTTGAGGAAATCGCACTCGAAACTCTTCCGAATGTCCCGTGTCCGATAGGTCTTATTTCATTAAACGTATTATAATTATATTTAATAATTTGATTGTTTCTAATAGCATTGTCAAGCCATTCTCTATGTTCACACCTTTGTGCCATCTTTTAGAAAACATGAAGGTGCCAATAAAAAGTATGTAAAATTGGTGTTAAATAATTTGAGTGTCGCTAAAAGAAGACCCGAAAATTTAAATATAGTTTATATTTAAATTTTCAGGTTTTTTTTTAGCGACACTTCATTTGCATATTTTTGTTTGTGACAAATGATCATGTGAGAACTTAAAATTCATATATTTTGTACATCATACAAAGTCTACACTAAAGACTTTTTAGTCCTCTTGTTTTATTATATCGTATATAACAATTCTTAGGTGAAACTGTAACGAAAACAAAGGTACAACAATTTTAACGATTTACTTCCCAATCACCTCTCATACTTGGATAATATGAAAAAAACACTCAGATCGCAGGTGTGTTAGTAATTTTCCTTAGACATTTAGCATAAATTCTCTAAGTTATAATACAAATAGTTTTTATTTTTTGTTTTGTTCTATTATATGAAGTCGTATTTGTTAGAAGGCGAACGTAAACAGTTAATAGTTATACAATGTAGTGAATAAACATAGGACCGATATTACCAACCAATTTTCGATTTCCTTTTTTGGAAACGTATCAAAAACGCAACAATTAAAATTAAGGTTAGGGTTAGTTCGAGGTTAAGGATATGGCAAGTATTATAGGTAAAATTACTCCCCTGACATGTTTAATTAGTACTTCAAGATAGGTTTAGACACTCGTTTCTTGTATTTTTTAGGTTTTCTTTTCTTTTTTTTGCTTCGTAAAAATATACAATGCGATTGGTTAATTTATGTAGATCTCCCAAAAAAGGAAATCGAAAAATGGGCGGCCATAACATAGTTACACGGAATTTAAAGATGAACCCATGTGTAACTAAGCTACTAATACAACATATTGAACACCTAAAAATCCAGCCTCTAATT